CCTCAGGGTCATGAGCAGGTCCTCTAATACCAGTTTCCTCCACTCCCTTTACTCATGCATATATCTAGACTTTCTCAGCTTTCTTGATGCATTTTTCTTCTTTGGGAAAACGCTACAGCCAAATCTTTCTATTTCATCACTGTCAAAACCCTGAAAGAAACAGGAAACTGTTCAGCACCACGGACAGCTCTAAGCAGGTCCAGCCATCATTTGTTGCTATGGTTTAGATATCACGCTCTTCAAAGAGCTTGATTTCTCCCTTGGATAGCCCAAGATTCTCTGGTTGCCTTGACCTCATAATGGTTCTTGAGTCACTGATGTTATCCTCTTCCCTTTGTAAGCAAATAAGTGATCTCTCCAATCAGACTTCGGATCTTAAAGCAGGATCCTATCATTGTCAGGGAAAGAAAGATTTCTTTGTCCTCACTGAGCTCAAGTGGTTGGGATGCTAAGGTCAGGAGAGGAACAAAGTTCTGTGTCTAACTTCCTCTTTATAGTAACTTCTTCTCCAGAGATGAAACTTTAAATGTTAATATAATTTAAGACAGTTAAACGTATTCTTAACTTCTCTTCATGACACATTTTAAAATATTTAGTTTTAAAATATTCAGCCTGCACTATGCTTCCCTTGCACAGAAATTCATAAGGACAAATATATTTTGTTTGAGAGTATTCCACAAAAAAGTTGTGGATGCTTGAACAAATGCTGTATTGAGAGGTTACAAATGTTTAATTAACAGTAGCATAGCAATCTTCTCTTTCCTTAAATCTACCTTTCTGTCTTTTTTTTTGTTTATCCAATAGTTCTTTTTCATGAAAAATTTAAACATGCACAAAAATAAAGGGACTAGTTTAATAAACTTCCACATACCTGTCACATAGATTCAATAATTACAATTTGTCTTACCTGCTTTATTTACCCTTTTAACCTTTTTTTCCTTTCCTAGTTTCTTTTTGGTTGTTGAAAGATATAAAATAAAATCCTAAACCTCGTGTCATTTCACCTAAATGTAAGGTATATTTCTCTTTTAAAAGTGGATATTTTCTTGTGACATCTCAATGCCGTTATCTCACTTAACAAAGATTTATTTATGCCATCCAATTTTCATTCCATCTGCAAATTTCCTTAATAAGACATTAAGAATGTCTTGTACTTTTGGTTTTATTTGAATCAGGATGCAAACAAGGTCCACATACTATATTTAGCTGTTATGCTTCTTTAGTCTCCTTCAAGGCAGAGCAGTACTTAATCCCTTTATTTTTTTTCATGCCATTGACTTGTGGAAGGAACTGGGTCCAGTGATATATAAAATTTCCACACTCTGGATCTGTTTGCTTCTTTGTAGCATCATTGCTTCCTTATTCCCCATATTTCCTGCAATCTGGAAGTCAGTTCTAAAGGCTTGATTAGATTCAGGCTCAAGTTTCTTTGGCAAGACTACTTTATAGACGGTATCAGGCCTACTTTAAAATGGGATCTGTGTACTTCATATTACATCACAGCCGTATCACGCTTACTGACATTCACATTAAATGGTGGATCCAGGGGCTGTCTTCTTGATTTCTCCATTGTAAAGTACCCCCATCACTCTTCATCTAATAGCTTCACCCGATGATGATCAATTAGGGTTACAAATAATTCTGTAACTCTTATTTCTTAGCCACTTATTAGCTAGAATTCTTTTGTTAAAAAATTGTCCCTCAGGCTATTTAATTACTATGAAATATAGCTCAGAAGAAAATCGTGATAAATGATTAGCTCTTCCCTTTAATTCCAGTTACCCAGATAGCTTTTACAATACTGAACAAATTACAACAGATTTTGTAAAGAGATGGATTCTCTAACAGTGGGAGATTCAAATGGTTCCCTATTGGTTTGTGGTGGAGACCATCCAGCGGGTGCTGGCCGCACAGCTAGCCATGCTGTAACTGTGGGTCTGTCTACTTCTCTGTCGTCTTCACCTTAAAAAACCAGCCACATGCCATCAGCCTGCCCAGAATGGCCTGTTTCCTTGTTTAATAGGTTCTTAGTGGAGAAAGTCATGGTAGAACCCCTGTTAATCACTTCCAACATTTCCAAAACAAGGCAACTAAATGAGCAGTGAGCATGAAGCTGAGGATGAAGCTGCTTTAGTCTCAAAGTGGTTGGGGGTAGACTGCTGTTTGCCATGGAATAGGTTTCTTGGCGGAATCTAACTTGCAAAGAGAATTGAAGATTGAGTGAGACAATGCTGTGCCTTCAGAGAACATGGGAAAGGGGGACGGAACACAGAGGGAAGGAGCAACCTGCCACCAAGCAGCAGGGTGATCTGAGCCACGCAGGCCCCTTCTCTGGTTGTCTTCACCCCCTGCACTGGGGCACTGAATCGCTTGTGGATAAAGTTAAAGCCAGCGCAGAGTCCACCCTTCCCCTCAGCTCCCTGCTTTCCTCTGTCACCACCCTGCCTGGAGCCCAGGAAGTATAATTCAGGAGTGAAACCTGCCTAGGATGTAGAGCAGGGTGAATAGCGCATTCCAGCAATAGAAATGATCTCACGATGACCCATCTCTCCAGTTAATGTCATCCCCCTCCACTAACACTCAGGCACACATTCACACACTCCAATTCTCATTGATCCCCATTGATCATTATTGCTCTGCTGTGATGACAGGATGAAAGGCCATCATCCTGGAGTCAGAAGAGATGACTCTGTTCCTGATACATTAAGCAGTAGTTGCCAAGGTGTGGCTCTGGGACAGCAGCACCAGCATCACCTGGGAACTGGTTAGAGATGGAAATTCTTGGGCCCCACTAAAAACCTACTGAATCAGAATCTCTTGGGGAGGGTCCCAGCAATCTGTGTTTTAAAGAGCCCTCCAGGTAATTGCGATGCAGGCTCAAGTTCTCAGCCTTGGCTATACATTGGAATCGCCTGGGAAGCTTTAAAGACTAATTATGCCTGGAATTTGTCTTCTCTTTCTCTGCCTCCCTCTTCACTTGCCTCTTCCTTCCTCTGTTCCTCTGTCAAAGCCTGCCTCAGCAGGTCTTACCTTAGACTGAATACATCAAGGCTTTTTCAGCAATTTAATCAGCATATGATGCTATTAGGAACTGTCTCAGAAAGCAGCCAGTTTACAAACTTACAGGTGAAACTGGCCCTAATGCAGACAAATAAAAATATTGAGTTCTTTTAAAGTCTGTCACAAGTATTGACATTTTAAATTAAACACTTTTTAAACATTTCTTATTGAGTCATAGTCATTTTACAATGTTGTGTCAAATTCCAATGTAGAGCACAAATTTTCAGTTATACATGAACATACATATATTCATTGTCACATTTTTTTTTGCTGTGAGCTACCACAAGATCTTGTATATATTTCCCTGTGCTATACAGTATAATCTTGTTTATCTATTCTGCATATGCCTGTCAGTATCTACAAAGTTTGAACCCCAAGTCTGTCCCTTCCCACCCCCTTCCCCATTGGCAACCACAAGTTTGTATTCTATGTCTATGAGTCTGTTTCTGTTTTGTATTTATGTTCTTTTTGTTGTTGTTGTTTTAGATTCCACATACGAGTGATCTCATATGGTATTTTTCTTTCTCTTTCTGTCTTACTTCATTTAGAATGACATTCTCCAGGGGCATCCATGTTGCTGCAAATGGTGTTATGTTGTCATTTTTGTGGCTGAATAGTATTCCATTGTAGAAATATACCACAACTTTTTAATCCAGTCACTGTTGATGGACATTTAGGCTGTCTCCATGTTTTGGCTATTGTAAATACTGCTGCCATGAACATTGGGGTGTAGGTGTCTTTTTGAAGTAGGGTTCCTTATGGATATATGCCCAGGAGTGAGATTACTGGGTCATATGGTAAGTCTATTCCTAGTCTTTTGAGGAATCTCTATACTGTTTTCCACAGTGGCTGCACCAAAATGCATTCCCCTCAGCAGTGTAGGAGGGTTCCCTTTTCTCCACAGCCTTTCCAGCATTTAAATGTATCTAATAGAATCAAAACACTTGAACAATTTAATGCCCTTATTTATTCACTTCAACAAATATCCAAACTCTTGCTGGTCAAATATTTTCCATCACCTCTTAAACTTTTGGAACTTATATTCTATGTAACTCTGGAAAGATGAGGCACAAGGGGGCTAAGTGACTTGCCCAAGGTCATACAGCATGTGTGTGGCAGCTCTGGGTGTGAATCCAGACAACTTGCTTCTGAGTCTGTTATTTACATTTATTATTAACCATTTGTTTTTTACATTTTGAATTTAAATAAAACTTAGAATATACATGCAAAAGAAGTTTGTTGATAAAATAATACACCACTTTTAACTCAACAGAACTGTTGAGTTAAAATTTAACTTAATGATTTTGGGACTCACGGGTTTTTATTTTCAGTAAAGATCTATGTTTTAAAACATATGAAGTACTTTCTAAACCGGAAGTGAAGCTACACCAAGACCGCCCATGTGTGTGCTCTGTTCATGAGCCTTAATATCCACTCCCTACAGTCTGGGAGGCTGCATATGTGTCCATCTTTGTGTGTTTCTTTGTGCTTATAACTCTTGAGACCAATGATAAGATCTAGATTTGTTGCTTTGGGCAGTGTCTCATCCTAGAGAATGGCTTTTGGGTGGGGACAATAGGACTGTCCCCACAGCTCCAAGTGGCACAAGGGGGCAGATGCGAGAGAAGAGCATGTACATACAACCGAGTGAGGTCGCCTTGCGGATATTTTTATGGATGGATATATGCATATTAGAGAACATACACAAATCCTCTACGGGTTCATGAGCCCAAGTTATGGCAAAGAGAATTATATCCTCTGGGCTGGAGGTATCTGAGAATTCATCTAATTCAACCCGTCATTTCATCAACAAGACAAAGGCCCAGAGAGGACAGAGAACTTGTCCAGGGCCACACAGCCAGTGGGTGGCGTGGAGCAGAAGTCTGAAAGCCAAGGGAGAACCCATTCAGCTGTCAGTCCGCGTGGTCTCTCTCCCGCAGGGATATTTCCTGGCTGGCACCTGAGCTATGTGGACGTGAAGGACAACTCCCGCGACGAGACCTTCCGTTTCCAGTGCGACTGCTGGCTCTCCAAGAGTGAGGGCGACAGGCAGACGGTCCGCGACTTTGCCTGTGCCAACAATGAAATCCGCGATGAGCTGGAGGAGACCAGTACGTGCGGAGACCAGTGGGCTCAGCTTAGAGTCAGTCTGGGCTGAAACTATTTAGAGTTAAATGAGAGTTAGCTCAGGCGGGAGGTGGGGAAGGATGTTGGAAAAGCTACAGAAGGAACTCATAGCCAGAGGGGAATCGGATGCCCAATGAAAAACATAATATTGGAGAGGTGCATAAGGATACACCCTAAATGTTGCTTTGTGAAGCTGGAACAGTCAAGATACTGGCGCCAGCTCCTGGCCCCAAATCATAGGGACTAATTAGGTAGCAGGAAACCCACAGGGGACAAGCTCTCCCTGCCCTGAGGGCTGCAGTGGGCAGTCTGATGTGACGCTCTCTCTGGTTTATTTTGCCATGCAATCTCCCAGTTGATGTCTATGGCAACCGCTGCCAAATTCAGCCTTTCTGGAAACAGAATGTGCAAGAGGAGCCAGCATCTCCATGAACCACTTTCTCTCTGGTTCCTTCCTCAGGGGATATTTAAAGGGAGAGAGTAATTGATCCCTAAGGTGGATGGCTGTCAAGGACCAGGGAAGTGTTTATTTAAAACAGATACCAGTATCTGAGTCCAACAATTTTGAGGAAGGCTTGTTAAAAGCAGAGCCCGTTGTAAAGGAAGGCTTTCCCAACCTTAGTTATTAAGCTAATACTAGCTGCAGTAAGACGTAAACCCCCAAACCTCAATAGCTAAACACAACAAAATTTGTTTCTCACTCATGTAACAACCAGTCCAGTGTGGGTGTTTGTCAGGAGGCCTTTTGTGCTGTGGTTCAGGGGCCGAAGCTGTTCTCATCTGTGGCTGCCATCTTCAACACGTGGCTCCCACATTTCTTGCAGAGGAAAAGAGAGCATGGAGAAGGCACTCCCCTCCCTTCTTGACAGCTTAACTCACATTCTGTTAGTCATGTGGCTCCACCTAGATGCAAGGGCTCCTGGGAAATGTAGTACCAGGCTGGACCGCCCTTCCCTGCCATGCCCTGTGCCATGGAAGGGAAACGTGGATCTTTGGTGGAAAGCCACTCAGCCTTTTCCGCCATGCCAGCGATGGACTTGGCTACTCCGCGAGGTAATGAGCACTGGTATGGGAGCATATACCTGCGCACACACGTGCACGCGCACCCCCATGCACGCACACACGCACACACATGCATTCACACACTAACACACCTGGACAAAAAGCTCTTTCCGTGGGACACCCTTCATCAGGACCAATTCCTCCCTCAGTTCCTCCCTCTCTACAGCCTCCTCCTTCTCCCCCAAACACCCTACTAGAAGCGTCTGAGGGCTGCTCAGTCAGCCTTATCAGCAACACATCCAGCCCAAATACAGTCCAGCCTGATGGTCAGCTCCCCAGGGATGAGGGCTCCCTGCTCGACCAGACAGCTCTGTTTTTAAAAATTCCACTGTATATTTATGTTCTTGAAGCTTCTATCCTTTGGCAGTCCCCATGGCGTCAAACAGAACATTTCAGGAGGCAGTGGCGGTTGGTGCCTCACTCCCAGCAGCTCCCATGTTCGCCAGGCAAAGAGGTTGCTTCTATAAATAAAATGGGGACATCACTCTAGCCCCCCAGATTAAGGCAGGCTCTATTTATAGTGCCTGGACGGTAGTGATTTTAACCCGCTCCCCGCCCCTCCACCCCTCAGGCTGCGGTCTGAGACCAGGGGCAGGACCTGGAGGGCGTGGCCGGGCCTGGAGGGCGTGGCCAGTCTGCTCCCGCCCCGGGGCTGGGCACGTCCCCCCCCCCCCCCGCTGACCCTCTCCCCGCTTCTCCACGCAGCCTATGAGATCGCCATAGAAACCGGCAACGGAGGCGAAACCAGGGAGAACGTCTGGCTCATCCTGGAGGGCAGGAAGAACCGATCCAAAGAGTTTCTCGTGGAAAATTCGTCTAGGCAGCGGGCTTTTAGGAAGTAGGAAGATGGGTGCCTGTCGAGGAATGGTGACGGGTGGGGTGGGTAAGAGAGGGACCCCAAGAAGCAACGTTTTAGTGGGGGCCATAAACATACAAATGGGCCCAACCAGCAAGGGCTTACGTGCCTGCTGTGTGCCAGCCCACACGAGCTCCTAGGGATGAAACAGGAGATTTAGAAAACGGAAGGGAGGGGACTGTCATTTAAAGAGAGCCCCCTCTAAGAGAATGGAACCTAATTATTCCTCTAGACAGGAAGGATAATTATGTAAAATGATAAAAGTGCTAATTATGGCTACAATGGCAATCATAGTACAAAGCATAAGTTTCAAATGAACGTGTTGTGCACCTTAAGCTTACACAATGATATATGTCAAATGTATTTCACTTTTTAAAAAGTCAATGGAAAACTACAACAAAAGCCAATTAATTAACTAATTAATTAACTAAAGCAAGCCTACTGTCGGCAGGACCCAGAGTCACATAGATGTTATCCTGCATCCGAGCAGACGAGGAGCTCACGGTCTAATGGAAAAGGAAGACATTCACCCTAAAGAATTCGAAAGACAGCATAGAATTAGGTTCTGTTTAGAAGGAGGAAGGGAGGGAAGGATCACTAAGATGCTTTATAGGAAAATCAAACTTGAGTCTAGTGTAGTTGCCTCGGGTCAGCACTCCCGCCTGCCTGCCACGCCCTGGAAATCACCTCCTGAACAGCAGGGCTGCCTTGGAACCACTCAGATGCACACTTCATCTCCCCGCTCCCTGCAGAACTGCTTATGTCACATCTCCCCTTCCCATAACCCCACTGCACCTTCTATTCAAAATCCCTCTGTGTGAGGATGGTCTGAGCTGATGCACCACCGCAGGCTGCCCCACCCACTTCTTTTCCATTGCTGTTTGCCTCACTGAACCCCAACTCCAGCCAAGCCAGCTCCCCCCAGAAATGTCTGCACCTCCAACTCCACTATCCCTGTCCCGTAACTTTGCCAGGTCAGGTCCATGTCAAAGGATGCTTCCCTTCCCCCTCACTCTGCTCTCTGAATCTCACCACCCTCCCCAGTCCATGGCCCAGAGCCCAGGGCCTCACCCTCCTCCAACACCATCCCGCATTACCAGGCAGCCAGCAGGGCTTTTTAATGGTTGTAAATATCTTGTTCCAAAACGAGGCCGAACCCCTCAAGCGAAGGAGGCCTGACATCAGATCTTGCTTGTCGTTCTATCTCTAGTCCTCAGACCAGTGCTTAGAATACAGCAGGCACTCAATAAATGCTTACTCCTACAGTGGACATGGGTAGCTCTCACTGGCCGTACCTTTGTGTCCTGCAGGGGGACCACAGACACATTTGAGTTTGATAGCGTCTACTTGGGGGACATTGCCTCCCTCTGCGTGGGCCACCTCGCCAGGGAGGACCGGTTCATCCCCAAGAGAGAGCTGGTCTGGCACGTCAAGACCATCACCATCACCGAGATGGAGTATGGCAACGTGTAAGTCCCTGGCCTCCCGCCCTCTCCCCCAGCAGGTGCCACGCCCTCCCTGGGAAGGACCTGAGGCCCGATGCAAAAGATGGCAGGGTGCGGGGAGGTGTCCCCGTCCAGGCTGAGGTCACCCCACTCGGGAGGCCTATGAAGAAGGGAAGGAAGAGAGGAGGCAGCTGTGCTAGCTCTCGAGCTTTCTGAACCAGAGGCTTAGCCCAGAGGCAGGGGACTGGACCAGATGACCTTGGGTGCCCCAGCCTTTTAATCCGGGAATGCATCTTTGGAAGAATGCCGAGCCGGTCAGACAGCGCCAGACAGCTGAGTCTTTCCTTCCCTTCCCCGTTATCACTGCATAATGACAAAGAGACACAGCTCTGAAGCCGGCTGCTCTGCAGTCAGAGTGAAAGCCCGCCATCCGCCATGCGGGTGGCAGAGCAGGGACCCGAGCCAGCTGGAGGAATCCCATGGCGCGCCGGCCCGGGGACCCCAGATAAGGAGCTTTGTGTTTCCGCCACCAGAGGTTTCTGGGGACTCGGGCATTTCTGGAGGATTAGGGGTCTTAGTTAACTGGGTAACAGCGCACAGGCAGCAGTTTTTCTAATTAAAACCACTTGGTAACCACATTGGATGCCAGAAAGAGCCCTGAGGCTCTGGAAGGCAGGAAAGATGCGATGAATGAATCGAGAGGAGCGAGGGGGAGTTGAGGGCAACACATGCCTCAGGGAGGGTGGGCCCGAAGAGCGAGTGAGAGGCAGCTGGGCGATCCCCCCAGAACCACTGCCCTTCCCTCCTGGCCCCTCTTCCTGCCCCTCCCAGGCTGGCCCTGCTCCCAGCAATGCTTTTTACGATAAGCTAAGCGCGCTGGACAGAAGCAGCTGCTCTGCTGGACCAGGTGGGCCCCAGCTGCAGATCCAGCCCTCGGGAACTGGAGCTTCTCAGAGCAATGTCTGTCCACACGCGACCTGCGACCTGCAGGCTTTCAGGAAGTGGCTGCCTCTGACCAGGCTTTCCCTTTGGGAGCTGAGCAGGAAAGGGTCCTGACACCTGAACTTGTGGCTTAGCCAGCTCAGGCTGCCATGACCAAGTACCTCCTACTGGGTGGCTCAGACAGCAGACTTTTTTCCTTACAGTCCTGGAGGCTGGAAGTCGGAGGTCAAGGTGCCAGCAGGGCTGAGTTCTGATGAGGCTATTCTTCTTAGCTCGCTGTGTCCTCGAATGGCAGAGGGAGGAGGAGAAGGAGACAGGGAGAGGAGATGGAGAGAGCGCTCTGGCGGCTCCTCCTCTTCTTATAAGGATGCTAATCCCATCACGGCTTCCCAGCCTCCTGACCTCATGGAAACCTAATTACCTCCCAAAGCCTCTGTCTTCAAATACCATCACATTTGGGGTTAGGGCCCTCATATATGAATTTGGGAGGATACAATTCAGTTCATAGCAACTTACCTCTCAGGCTGCAATGTTATTTGTTGCTTTTTTTGAGAAAAACCATCTGGGGTACAATACATCCTGTAAGTCACTGGGCGTGGCCATGAGAAGCAGGACAGATTGAGGACCTGGGAGCTGGGAGACAGGGGCCCAGAAGATCGCCAGCTCACCCAGCAGGCCGGGGACAGGTCAGAGCCCCTTCTGCAGCCCTTACTGCCTCCCAACTGCAAGGGCAAGGCTGCTGACACTGCTTCTCCGCAACACCCCCCAAACAAACAATACAATACCATACAATAATAAAATAGAATAGCCACCACTGGAGTTAGCTTTAAGCCCACAATGTTGGCTGAGAGAGAGAGGGAGCCAAAGACCTCAGTGCCACCCAGCACCTTCCAGCATCAGGAGGAAGGGGAGTGAAGGCCTTCCCACCCCGCAGTCCCGGGGCTGAGTGGTAGGATCTCTCATCCGGTGGAAAGAACCTGCCACTCCCAGTGAAGCACCTTTTTCTACACTCTCAAGAGAGTAGCCTGTTGTCAGCATGTTGCTTGGGCTGGAAGTGGAGAAAGGGATGTGTACAGAGCAGGGCTCTTCCAAAAGGGAGCGGGGTACAGGGAGTCTGGACCCCCTCAGGCTAGAGCTGTCACCCAGTCAGCCGTGTGGTCTTGGGCGATAACCCAGAACCTCTCTGTGCCTCACTCTCCCCATCTGGGAGGAGCTGGATGCTCTTAGTCTGGGGAAGTTGGGAGGGATGGCAGGGGCTCCAGCCTGGGTGGAGGCGGGGGCTCAGAAGTCATACTCCAGTCTACCTGCCTGTGCTGGTCTCAAGCCTGTGGTTTCTGCTGGATGAGAACCTGTCTCCCCCAGAAATATCACCTCTATCCAGAGGGGGGACCTTGCAGGCAGGTCCCAGCATTGTAGCTATTTACCTGTCGCCATTCTAGAACATTTACATTCTGCCATATAAAGACCACTTACCTAGCACCACATATGTTCCTTGCTAACCAGCATGTTGGCCATAATATTTGGATTTCCATGAAATACAAATTAATTTCATCTCAATCTCTTATAAACATGACAATCTCAAATTTTCATCTTCCAAGCATTTCCAGTCCTGACTCCTCTGCTACAACGTTTCTGAGCAGTCCTTCTTTGTCACTCAGATCCTCGGGGTTTCCGTAGAAGGACACACAGAGAGGCTTTGTTTCTTGTTTTCAAACCAAAAACAGAATCATTGCTTTATTCCACCACCTATCATATGTAAACATAATCACTTTAAAAATTCAAATAAAGCCAAAAAAAGTGCATAAAAGAAAGTAAAAATTCCCTTGTGTAAAAAGAAGTACAAAGTCCCAAAGCCCTACCTGTCAGAGACTCCCACGTTGAGTATCTGGTGACCCCGTTCTCTCTGGCATTCTGTTCACAGAAGTTTGACCATATTCTACATGTTTTTTTTCTGGTCAGGGGAGGTAAATACTCCCCTTTTTCCATTCTTTGGCTGCATGATTCTAAGGCACCTTCTACGTGGCTCCTAGGAGTTGTCCCCTGTGGGTATATGTTTTTTAATATATTTATTGTTTTGCTTGCTATCATCTGCATTGCCTTTATCCTTGCTCATGACCCTACCCGCCATGGCCAGTGGGAGCAGCCTGCCATGTTCTTCCACAGCTGGAGTCTTGACTCCACAATGTCCTCGACTCCACAATATCCTGAGGTTCCACATTTTGGTGACCTTGTAATTATGTCGATTAGGAAACAAGCTACACTGGGAAATGTGTTTCAGCCATTAAAAACAACGAGTTAAATATGTCCCAGAAGACTTGGAGCAGTTCCCAGGAAGTGTTGTTGAGTGAGAAAAGCCAGACATGGGAAAGCACGTATTATATTATGCCATTTTGCAAAGGGAACGCCTGCTGCCCGCATGTGTCTGTGTCTGTGCGGGTCTACCTGTGCAGGGTTGGGTGAAAGGAACGGAAATGTGGCAAAATACGTCGGCAACTGCTACATGGGTTATCTGAGGTGAAGACGGGATGCAGAAAGGGAAAGGAGGGAGAAAAAGGAGATAGAGCCAAGCAAAAAAGGAAAAGAAAAAGAAAGCGTTTGGAAAAAACATACGTGTGATCACATGATTCGGGCACTGATGTAGAATTATGTATATTAAGGGCATTTGCATGCATTTTAAGTGAGTGTTTAAGCAAAGAATGCAATCATATCTCCCTCTAAGTGCAGTAGGGAACAACAATCCAGATTTACCAGGTGATAAATTGGGGAAAGAGAGATTTCAAGACAGAATAAGGATTTCCTGCGAAGTGTCTTTAAATGGCTAGCTCTTCAGGTGGCCAGGCAGGCTGGCTCTGGGTGCTGACTCAGTGTCACCTTGGGCAGTGACTTCTCTTCTCCAAGACATAATTTTTCCTTCTGTGAAATGGGAGGATAAAGTCTGCAGCAGGCATTCATGAGAAGCAAGGCAGAGCCCAGGCATCAGTGAGCACACAGAAAACCAAGCTCTTTGTGCTGTTATGGATTTCCATCTAAAAATTGATTTTGCACTCCTGGTCACACCCTCTCAGAGCTACATTTCTGAAGTCATTAGCCAGTGCCAGGATTGCTCCCTTCCAAAGCTGTTAAAATATTAGCGATTTGGATGGGAAAAAAACATAGCAGCTGTTCAGTCTAAACCTCTCGCATTGCCAACGGGAAAATCAAGGTCAGGGTGGGGATGGGACTTGTCCAAGGTCACATAGGTGGTAGGTGGCAGGACTGGGGCTCCCTACACACTTACGCAGTATTTCCCCCCATGCCCTCTGACTCCTTCGTTGATAATTATTGGATTCACTGTCATGAACCAGAAGCTAACATTGAGGGTCAAGGGTAGAGAAGGAAGTTTTTGGTCCAAGACCATTTCTTTTGGCCCTAGACTTGCTTCTGCTTGCAGTAGGTTCTTCAGTAGAGGACTTGGTCTTACCCCTTTGTATTGTGTGACCATGAGCACATGCGTGTGTGTCACATGCACAAACACACACTCATAGTTCCACTCAGCCAAGTACGAGAGATTTGGGAGCATACACTTTACAGTGCCCTTTGCCTGGGATTGTTGTTCTGGATCCCATAGCTCCTCCAGAGGTGACACCACTGGGTAAAAATACTCATCAGTCCCTGTGAAGGAGCAAGGGGACCAGCCTGGTTGACGTGGAGTGAGCTTAGAAAAGGGAAGGCGACAGGTCAGAAAGGCACACGCTGGGAGGAGAGTCAAGTCATATCAGGTCTTAAAGGCCTTTGTAAGGTGGTGATTTTTATATATTCCGGGGAGCCAGTGGAGGGTTGTCTGCAGAAGAATGACATTCTCGGGTTTACACCTCCGTAGGGTCGCTGGGCTGCTAGGCAGAGAATACACTGTGGGTAGCGAGAAGCAGGGGACCAGTTAGGAAGCTGACACTACCCAGGTGCAGGTGGAAGATGGTGGTGACTTGGACCATCTGGGCAGCAGGGAGGATGGTGAGATGGTGCCTGCCTCTTTCAAGAGGCCTGATTCTGATCTATTTTAAAGATGGGCTCAATGGGATTTGTTGGTGGATCAGATATGGAGTGTGAGAGGGAAAATAAAAGAAGAATCAAGGAGAAAAGAATTTTCAGATGAGCGAGACCCATCCTCACATTTTATGCAGACATTTCCCGCCCCAATATCCTGTCACCGGGGAAGGAATCACGGTGGATAACGGGGTCCTGGGGGAGGGTGTGAGCCTTGTCACCCATTCCCCCAGGTACTTCTTTAACTGTGACTGCCTCATCCCCCTCAAGAGGAAGAGGAAGTACTTCAAGGTTTTCGAGGTCACCAAGACGACCGAGAGCTTTGCCAGCAAGGTCCAGAGCCTGGTGCCGGTCAAGTACGAGGTCATCGTGACAACGGGCTACGAGCCAGGGGCGGGCACCGACGCCAACGTCTTCGTGACCATCTTCGGGGCCAACGGCGACACGGGCAAGCGGGAGCTGAAGCAGAAAATGCGCAACCTGTTCGAGCGGGGCAGCACCGACCGCTTCTTCGTGGAGACGCTGGAGCTGGGCGAGCTGCGCAAGGTCCGGCTGGAGCACGACGGCAGCGGCCACTGCTCGGGCTGGCTGGTGGAGAAGGTGGAGGTCACCAACACCAGCACCGGCGTGGCCACCATCTTCACCTGCGGCAGGTGGCTGGACAAGAAGCGGGGCGACGGGCTCACCTGGCGAGACCTCTTCCCTTCCGTCTGAGGGCCGGAGGCCCTCCCTCCCCCCTCCCGCCAACTTGTCCCGCCCACACCTGCCACCCCCCCCCCACATTGGCTTTCAGCAGTCCTTTGCTGAAAGCCTCCTGGAGCTGGGATGGGGGCCCAGAACTCCGTGGTCATTCAGAGGCCACTGTGGGTGACTGCTTGTGGGGTCCTGCCCACTCCTGGGTCTCCTGGATCGACAGGAATCCAACAACACGTGTCACAGTCCGAGGCTGCACAAAAATAACTTTGGGCATTTTCTCTTTGAATAGCAGCAGTGAACTGGGCTGAGACTTGCTGCCGGGTGTGGATGGGAAACTGGGGCTTCACCCAGGGGGTGGAAGTGGGGAAGGAGAGACCGTCAAGATGATGTATTTTAGGCAAAAACTAATTAACACTTTTTTCCCAAAAAAGCTGGGCTAATTAAATTATTACCAACCACACCCTGCAAAGAACTCATCTTGGCATCTGCTCACTTAGAAATGCATCCTGTCCCCCAAGTTCAATGAATCCCGTGGCAAATGGAGAAAAACATCAGGAGGAAGTGTTTCAGCTGGGGGCCTTGTGAGCCTGAGAAGGGTACATGGCTCTTTCCATCACTGTACGAAGAGCGCATTGCCAAGTGCCCGCTGGCTGCCCCAGCCAGTGATGACACAGTTAAGACCTGGAGACCTGAGCAGGTGATGGAGGTTGGAGGGGAGGGGTTGGAGGGGTGGTGCCTGGAACAGCCTGGTCCCTGCTGCAGCAGGCTGGGAGGCGGGGAGGGGATTGGCGTTGTTTTTGCAAGTGTCACCTGTGGCTCACCGTGGGCAATGTGGACTGAGAGCTGACAGGAATCAGAACAAAATAAAGATATGATTTCTGCCCTCAAGAGGGATGTGACCCTGATGGAGAGGCAGCGGGAGGAACCACACTCTCATGTGCCTGCACACACACACACACACACACACACACACACACATATGCACACGCACACGCACACTCCCTGAGGGATGATCACAGCAAGAGTGCTACAGGACTCAGCCCCTGACGTCTGAATTTCCTGCGGAGGGCGAGACGCGACTGAGCAGGAAGCTACGTCAAGCTCGGAAGTCTTCCTGTAAGAGGACACCCAGTACCAGAGCTGCTGCTGTGTCACCACGAGCCTCTGGCCCAGGCAGGAAACTTAGTGAAGCTTTGTGGCCTCCAACCATTGGAGAAAGGCTGCAGCAGAAAGTGCAGGCGCAGAGGCAGCCTGTGTGGGCTTGAGTCCCAGCTCTGCCTTTTCCCTGCTGAGAGCGCTTGGGCACATTATCTCATCTCTCAGGCCTCAGTCTCCTCATCTCTCAAATAGGAGGAACGATAATACCAACCTCGTAGGTCATTATGAGGATTAAGCCAGTTAAAATGCAGTTAACTCAGCACCTGCACCGAAGGGCTGTGTCCATCATGTTGAACAAGCAGGACTCAAGGTGGTTGAGGTGGTGTGGGGGAAATGTAATCCTTAAGCAGATTTATTTGCATCCTTTTCTGGAGCTGGTTCCTCCCCTGTGTCTGGATGAAAATTAAGGCCAGCCTCATAACTCTTCTGGGCTCTCTTACGTAGTAAAATGTCCAGTAGTCACTTTAAAGTCACAGAGACCATCTCAGTTCTGTAATTTGAATGTTCTGCTCCAATACAAAGTTCAAAGCGTCCTACTCAGAGTTGAGTCTCCTCCCACCCCAGCTCAGCCCTAGCACGGGCGAGAACCATCGTGAGGGAAGATTGGGGGTGTGAGTGTGGGTGTGCACACATACATGTGTGTGTGCGTGAGTGCGTGTGTGTGTGTGTGAGTGCAGGGTCAGCCTCACCTCTTGTCTCCACCCTGCATTTTCCTTCTGCTTCCCCGCTTGCTGACCCCGTTACCCACCTCTCCGGGGAGGGAGGAGAGGTGAGGGGGGCAGCTTCCGGTAGGGGATGCTATCGTGGTCTGTGTCCCTCTTTGTGGACAGGCGCCTTCCTCCCATAAGCGCTTGTGTGTGTTGGTTCCATCTCAGGCCCTTCACGCTCACTCTGTCTTCTTGTCTAGCTCCTCTGGTGTCCTTTACTCTGACAAACTCAGGGCATTCGGACACCCTTCTCTGTCATCAGCGGCCGGCCAGCCCATCCCTCATCCCCACAAGTTCTCTGGACAAGACAGAGCACTGTGTCCTCAACTGCGGTGGGCACATCCCCCTCTCCAAATAGCCCCACTGAAACCTCAGTCACTGGCCTGGGGCCAAAAGGCAACCAAAAGGAAGGAAGGAAGGGGTACTTCCCAGCCCACCCTCAGCTCTTTCTGAATGTCCTGCTCTCAGACCATGGCTCCAGCTCAGGCTCTCCATCCTCTGTCCTAGGAGGACTGTCAGCTCAAAGTCAAAATCAATTTTTTTTCTGCCACGCCCTCCGGCCAGTGCTACGTGATCTCCCTACGTCTATTGTCCTGTTGGTCCAGCCAAGATTGGGGCAGGAGAGGCCCCTTGTGGCGGTCAGCTGCTGGTGTGCTCAGTGCAGGTTGGCTCTTACTGGGATGGGGCAGGCCTGGCTTGGCGACATACCCCATCCCCTGAGTCAACTCTCGTTCCATCCCTGACCCGCCCTGCCTCCTCTGCTTTCCTCACAAAGGACTCATCAAGATCGAGTGAAACTCCTGCTTTGAAAGCCCTATAAAAACTGTTATCCTTTCTGGGTGTCTTCTCTCCCACAGGGCACCTCCTACCCCGCCTGGCCCCCCATGTTCCTGAGACTTGGGCAGGTTGCCCACAGCTCCGTGTTCAGCGTGTTACCCTCCAGCAATGCCACACACACTGTCCCCTCTGCTGTGCCTCTGCTGGGGCTGTCCTGATGCTCCAAGTCTCCTCGCTGCCATCCACCCCTCCCTCCCACCACGTTCTGAGGCCCCGGGCTGGTCCAACTTCCCTGCCCTGTAGGGGCGGGAACTGAGGACCAGAGCAGGTCTCTGACTCACCGAGGGTCCCACGGGGCAAAGCTGAGCTTGTCCTAGGCTGTCTGCCGCCCTTCACACTCTGCGGAGGAGGTTGGGGGGAGATGTGCTTGGCGGTGGAGGGGGGAAGAGCGAGGGGCTGGGAGTCTTGCAGAATCCACATGTGGCAGGTCCCGTCCCCACAGCCCTGCTGCTTTGGGCTGAACACTGCCTTTCCCTTGGAGTGCTTCCATCCTCTTTCCTCCACCCAGGCTGCAGGCAAGGGTAGTGGGGAGACCTCCTTACCAGGGTGTTGGGGAGAAGAGCAGAGAGAGGGGGAGTCCCTGCTGCCCCCTGCTCCCACCTGCCCTCCCCCCTGAGGGAGGAATGCAGGACACCCTGGAGACGACGCCCCCAGGGAGGGCTCGCTCTGCATCTCACCCCATCCCCCGTCCAGGCTGGGCTCTACCTCCCGACTTCTGTCTCCCCTTGCAGGCTGTCACGGGAATCCTCCTCTAGGCAGGGCCGGAAGGAAAGCTGGGATTGGGAGAAGCAAGCAGGCAGCCCAGGGTGCAGGCTTACAGGAGGTCCTCAACCTCAGGCTTATGCAAAGGCAGGACTGGCATTGGAGAGTGGGGCTTCCTTCAGCGTTGCACCCAGGACCCCTGGCTTGCCTCGCCCTCAGGCCTGGCTCTAGAACAAAGTTATTCTTCCACGCAAAGTTCCCCCAAAGCTCTGTATTACAACAATCCTAATTTCAAGGCTGAGACTCAACAACCAGCCGTGGTGAAGGTGAACCAGCCCCTTCCCTAGGAAAGGTGCTTCCTGAACCCCTCTCTTCCTAAGGCCCCTCCTGCGGACACGGCCCCTGGTCACTGCTGGGGCCTGGCAGCCGTGGCAGTGGTGCTGGATGTCACATCTCCCCCAACCAAGACAAAACCCCTCACTAGGGCTCCAGGGGGAGAATAAAGGAAAGAATGATCTCTTTCTACCCCCCACCCCCTACCCCTGTTTCTGTTCGGTTTCCTCACCAGACCCGCTCATTGCTTCCCCAAACCGCCCTTGGCACTGATGGCTCACACTGTCAGAAAGCTCTTTTTTATAAGGATGGCTTCTTGAATGACAAGTTTTTATATCAGCACCATCTTTCCTCACCTGCTTTGGAGGCAAGTCTGCGTTAAAGAATGTTTGGAGAGAACCTTAATTGTAATGCTGTGAGTAACTACTAACAAGGTATTTTACAAAAAAAGTAAAAATCCCCGGGGTCTACAGAAAAGAAAAGACATTCGCAGTTACACTCATGAGCTATTTACACAGGCGCTGTTGCACTCAAGTCTAAGAAACACTTCTGCTCTTAAGCAGCTTACACAAAAGCCTTCAATCTTATTTCCTCAGCACTTTGGCTGAAGAATCTTTTTCTTCCAAGATTTTGATATAAGGAAACTCAGCTCAGTTCAGATACACCCCTTCTGAATTCTGATTATACGGGTTCCAAACGGGAAGAGCTCAGAAGTACTACGGGTGCCCCACAGTGCTGTGTGTCTGTCCTGAACAGGGACCCCCATTACTCCCAGCCCCTTGGCGGAGCGCGGCCCCAGGCATCGCCCACTGCAGACACCCAAGTGCCCCCCGAGTGAGGGCGAGATGAGGGGGCTTCAGGGAAAAGTGGGGGCCCTCAGCCTTGGACAAAAGGAGTAGCAGAGCCTATGGGAAAGGAGGTTTAACTCACCAAGCCTGAGTGAATGACTTTTTAAGAGGGGGAAGAACACTTGAGCCCTAAATTTCAAAGGGGAAGTTTGGGCAGTGTCACTGGGATGGTCAGGGAGGCAGTGTGACTACTACACTGGAGAGAAGACGAGCTCTGTGCTTCCAGCCTAGAGGCCTCAGTGTGCCTTTTCTTCTAGAATCCCCAGCTGAATGTGGAAAGCACGTTCAATGAAGCAGCGAATCCTGGAGTCTTGGTTCTGAGACCTCAGCCTCCAGCCAACTGCCGGTGGCTGACCACAGCCTGGGATGGCGAGAGGGGAAAAGCAGACATGGATGGGGCCTGGGAGACTCTAGGAAAAGGAGAGGGAGGAGAGAACAAGAGGAGAAAGACTATGCAAAGCAGGAGTTAAAAAAATAAACCATCATCAGCATTATCTTCATCACTAACATTTACAGAATGCTCACTGTACTCCACACGGCGCTGTACACAGGTGAGCTCGCTGACTCCACGCCTGTGGGGCAGTGCCATTATTATCCCCATTTTATAGATGGAGAAACTGAGGCACAGAAAGTTTAAGTAACTTGCATAAAGTCACTCTGCTAACAGGTGCCACAAGGAGTCCAAGGACAGGAGTTTTCCTTAAATGAAATGTTAGATGGAAGGCAGAGGTGTTTAAAGGTGAAAGGACCACAGCTGAGGCAGGTTGGGGAGCAGGGGGCGGTTCCGAGACAGAACACCACCTGGGAGGTGCAGGGCAGGTAGAGGAGGGGATATGTGCAGGCTGAGGCTGTGAATAGGGCAAAAGGGGAGTAGGGAAGGACAGTGCCTGGCAGGAGAAGGCTCTGGTTCTCTGCTTCCCGGGAATGGAGGATGCGGGATAGACGCGGAGGGCAAGACGCCAAGTGCCACATTCGGGGTGGGAGGCTGGAGGCAGAAAAGCATGGCTGGGAGACTTCCACGAAGCCTGGGAATGAGAGGAGGATGAGGTCTGCTTAACTGTATGTGTCACCTTGACTGGCCACAGGGCGCCCAGATGAAACATAATTTCTGGGTGTGTCTGTGAGGGTGTTCCAGATGAGATGGGCATTTGAATTGGTGGACTCAGTGAAGTAGCTGGCCCTTGCCTGTGTGGGTGTGAGACAGGAGGGAAAGGGGTAGGGCACAACCATTGAAGGAATGACACAGCCACTGAGGACGGGACAAACTGGTTAGAACCAAGATGGCGGAGGATTCGACTTCCAGTAGACCTTGAGCCTCATGGCGCACCCACAGATGCCATGACAGTTCCTAGGCTGACCTTAAATGGTCAAAAAGTAGGGGGGGACCCAAATCTTGGAAATCCCCACCCCTTTTTCAAAATAGAATAACCCTCCTACTCATTAGCATATGAAATTACCAAGCCCATAAAAACTACCAGCTCTGCACCTCGTGGTTGCTCTCTCTCGCCTTCTGAGACGGACCGCACTCTGTCTATGGAGCGTGTATCTTTCTAAATAAACTTGCTTTCACTTCACTATGCCTCGCTCTTGAATCCTTTCCTGTGCGAGGCAAGAACCTATTCTCCAGCAACCAATTCATCCAATCCCTGGA